GCTCTCCCTCCTTCCAGCTTTATTTGCAGAGGGAATTAAGATCCTGCTGGGAAAACCTCCCCTACGCTCTGATAACTGCCTGCAGAGCCAGAGCTCTAAATGCCTTTTTGTAAATGAAAGACCGGGATTAACGAGGTTCCCCTCATCACTGTTTACTTAGTTCTCTGTGGGACTGGGGGGAACAGGGTAGAGACCCCCCCTTTGCCAGCCCAGCACATCAGGCCACCAAGGAGCTGCCACATACTTGGGACCAGCAAGGTGCCACCCAGCACATGGCTGAGCCCTTCCTCTCCTCCCTGGAACAGGAGGTTCCCAGAGGGTTTTGGAATGGGTGGGAGCACCAGGAGCATCACTCCAGAGGACAGGGCAGCCACAGGACACTGCATTTTGCGAGCTGGGGGCCAGGCAGGGGATGATGCTCATTTTCTTTCTATGCCACGTTGCTGGGGAAGGAAGGGGGGTGTTTGCCATGCGGGCTGGTGTTGGGCACACGTCCCCCCACGTGACAGGACCGGGGAGGCCACGCAGGGCTGCAGCTGGCCTCATCCCCTCGGCAGGAATTCACTCAGGGATGGCAAGGAGCTGCCCAGCAAGGACATGGGGTCTGCTGAGGGTGCAGGTCCAATAAGCCCACACAGAGGGGACCCTCCTGCACCATCCCTGTCTGTCTGCAGTGGGGCCTGGGGGTCCTGCCTCTGCCTTCTGCACTCCCAGGGACTGCAGCCACCGCAGCCGCCTTGCACAGCTCCGACCTTTGGATGTTTGCACATTCCTGCCTGTTAATGTGTCTCGTAACCAAAAGCTGCCAGGAAGGAGCATTACTCCGCTCAGCACTTGCAAGGCTGCTCCCCCACCCCGCTCCCCAGCTGAGAATTGGCAACAACCCCACAACCGGGTGGGAGCATGCGCTCCCCAGAGGAGCAAAACCAAATCCCTGGCACCCTCATCCAGCAGTGCCTCTGCTAGGAGCGATAAGCATCCCACCCCTTGACACCAGCGAGCCCACAGTGCTCACAGAGCTCCTGGGGCAGACAGCAATTGCCTCTCCCAGCCCAGCTACAGGGAAAAGGAGCGCCGTGGAAAAAGAGCGCCGTTTCGGAGCAGAGCCGTGCTTCCCTCGGCTGCCAGGCTGGCACCCTGCCCACGAGCGCTACGCCAGGCCAAATTCTTTGCGATTTCTAGGTCAACACCCGCCTCTCCTAATGCCCCTCAGCCCTCCCGCTGCCTGTGCCGGCCCCCAGTCCGGTGGTCTCCATGCACAGGATAGGAGCATCCCAAGGGATGCATCCATACCAGACATCGCCGTGCTGCTCATCCTGGCTGGTCCCATTCATAAGCCCCCAATATTCAGGGCTTATGCCCACATTGCTCCCCAAATGCAGCTGCTCACCCACGGGCTGCCTTTGCTGCCTGGCTCTGCCCTCAGCAGGTGAGCTGTGTCCAGGGGATGCAGAGCCCGGAGCCTACCCCTGCTTCCACCTTTTTGAGGGGTTTAAGGCCCATCTCCAGCAATTAGACACCAAAGGAACATGCTTTGGATTTTTAAAGCCATTTTCTCACTGTCATGATGGCAGTAGAAAAACAAAAAAAAAAAAAACCAAAACCCAATCTCGGGACGTGGGATGGTCCTAACGCTCCAAACCTGAAAATAAACCACTTGAAAAAACAGTCTTTGTAAAGAAATCCTCGTGGCCACGGTGCTTGTTTGCAAACCGGCCAAGTTTCAACCTTGGCATGACGTGGTTTCTCGAGAAGGAGGCGACTCTGGCACTGATCCTGCAGCTCAGCCCCACACCGCGGGGGGCTGGATGTGTCCCCCCCCATGCCCGCAGGGGTCACTTTTCGTGACATGGGCTGGGCTGGCGGAGCAGGAGCGCTGTGAGGCTCCAAACCCTCACCTGGGCACGCATTGAGGGGATGGTGGGGAGGAGGAGGAGGAGGAGGAGGAAGGGCGGCGTGCCTGCCGAGCGTCTCCTCGTGACGGCACTTACGCAGGGGCTGTTGCATTGTGGAGCAGCCTCCAGCGCTCCCCCCACCGCAGGGCAAGCCCTGGCCTGCCGGCACATTGTGCCAGCCAGGAACAACCACTGGCAACGGCCCACTGACCCGTCCCGGGGCTCCGGGAGGTGCCACACAGAGAGCACTTTAGCTGGATGTGCTCCCCCAGTGCCAGAGGGTGCAGCCCCCCCCCCCCCCCCCATAGCCCAAAAACATGACTGAAAACAGGGTGCAGGCGTGCTCCAAAAGTGCCTCCTAGATAATCAGGTTCTGAGCCACAGCAGCCCACCGCCTTGCCCTGCCTCAGTTTCCCCATCAGGGTGCTGGGAGCCATCCAGGCTGTGCGAATGCCACAGGTCCCGCTGGGCTCTGCTGGCAGTGCAACATCGCTGCTGAAAAACAGTGGTCGGGGGCTCTTTCCCCCCTCTCTGTTGCCAAAGCCACCTCCCCCAGCACCCCTGCAGGGAGGTGTTTGCATCTAGCCTGATCCCTCCAGGCAAAGCCATTGGAGTCCAGCCGTGGGGCCCGGCACAGCCTGTCTGGGGTTTGCTGTGGCATCTCCAGACCTGCAAATATAAAATCCTCTAAAAAGAATCACAGGGGCAGGGAGTCACTGAGATGTCCCCAAGCCTCACCCTGCATGAGGGCCAGGCTGCCCCAATGCTGTTCCCATGCCAATCCCACCAGGGACCTGCTGTACCAAGCAGATCTTCCTATCTGAGTGTAGTTCCCAAGAGATTTCACATCCTCCGTGGATTTCACATCCTCCGTGATGCATGTTTTGGAATCTGGTTTTTCCCAAACTTTGGGTGTTCATTCATTGCTATGCAAGGCAAGTCCATTTCCTACCCTCCTCCATCCTGTTTCCCCCTTCTCCCCCCTCATCACTCCAGCCATTCCAGCCTGGGATGTTAAAACGGGCTGAATTTTTCACGAAGAGTGGGGGAAAAATTTTTAGAAATGTGGGGATGGAGAGAGAACCCCTGAGCTGTGACCTCCTCCAAACTCAAGCCACCAAATCCATACAAGGAAAACAAAAGGCAGCGAGATTAGCATTTCCAAACAGAGCAGAGATGGCCCCAATCTTTGAGCTGTTTATTCTAGGCGTTGATTTTCAATATTTAGGATGATTAGCAAGTGAAAGCCGACTGTTGCCAGAATGGCTCCATGCCAACCCCACACTCAATGGCGGGGAAAGAAAGACACGGCAAGAAAGGGAGAGAAAAGAAGGGCTTATGTGTATATTTTTTCCCCCCTCTGTGAACGAGAGATTGGTTTGAGGTGTCAATGTTTGCCCATCAGGGAAGGATGATGGATGAGGAGACGGCTGGGGAAATAGCAGAAATAAATAATAAAGGAATAATTGCCCTGTGCTTAATAACCAGTCAGGGAAGGACCTGGCTGGGGCTGCAAAGCTGAGTTTGCAGAGAGTTTTTTGGAGCTCGGCTCTTCCCAGACCCGCTTTGGTGGGTGCTGGTGGAAGCCCCAGAACGCAGCCAGCTCCGCGGTGCTCTGGGTTTCATTGCACGATGCTTTGCCCGCTTGTAGCAGGGGGGGACACTGCCAGCGTGGGGGTCCCCACCCCGTCACCGCGAGTGTTCCGGGCGAGCCGGGGCAGCCCCAGGGCTGGACCAGCCCCAGCCACAGGCTCCAACCCCGCTGCCACCGGCAAGCCCGGGCAGGTCTAGGGCTGCCGGGTCCTGACGTCCCTCCTGGCACGGTGCTTGGCCCCGAGCACACCCGGGATTTGCGTGGGCAGGACCGCGGTGTCCCGCCTGCCCCCGCGCCCATGGGAAGGGATGCCACCACCCCGAGCACCCCCCACTCCTGCACCTCCTGGCTGCCGCTTAAAAAACCGCTCCCTCCACAAACCATCTCATTGAAAGAAAAGAAAATTCACGTCCAACTTGGTTCGGTTGCTTTCAGAAGCCGAACAAAACGAGGTTGTTTCAGGCCTCGCCTGGTGCCTCCTTTATATTCACCCTTTCTCACTTTAAACCCCTCGACTGGCTCCGGCAGGCTGGAATAGTTTTTCCTGGCAAGGTTGTTTTTTTCAGTCCCCTGGCAGGGTGGGGATGCTGGAGGCTCCTCTTTTCCAGGGGGGTTAAAAACAGAAACTACATGTTTGTGCCTAGCAAAACAAAATAAAGAAATGGACCAAGGGACAAGGGGGGGTTGCCAGCTTTTTGCAGCCCTGAAGTGCAACTAGTACCAGGGGGAAGCAGGCAGCAGCTCTCCCAGTCCTATCAACAGGGAGCTGAGAGGAGGAGAAGCCAGGACAGGAAACTCCTTATTGCCTTTTGGTGTTCATGGTCCACAAGCTCAAAGGAGAGATGCAGATCTGCCTCTAAAATTCCCCCCAGGCACACCAAAGCTGTTCCCCACAGGGATAACCCTACCTTATCCCAAGGGCAGCATCTTGCCTTCCCAGCACAAAACACATCCAGTCCAAGGCCAGCCCCTACAGTGAGCTCAGCCCTTATTTTGGGTTGAGATTGGCTGGATTGGGAGCAGCTGTGGCAGCTCTGGCTGCTGCAGTGCCTGGTGCTGAGGGGATCCAGCAGATCACTGGGAAGGTGATAGGGTGCTCCTCTTGTGCTGTGGAGACAGCAAGGGCTGTGACAAGCCCCAGGCAGGGTCTGGAGGGGGATCTCTGTGCAGCTTCTCTTTCTGCCCAGTGCCCACAAGGGCTCTGAAGTCACTTGGTCTCCCCAGAGCACCTACAGGGCACAAACAGAGGGATAGTCCCAGGCATTCAGCCCATGTCACCCCTAGGAGCTCCCTGCAGGGGCAGGGAAGGCTATTCCCAGGGCTGGGAGCAGCTCCCAGGACTCAGGACACAGCCAGCCTTGTGTCACCCATTTGGTGTGTAACCATTGTCCCACAGGGAATTTCTGTCCTGTCATGGAAGTAGCTGAGAGCTCCCGTGTCCTGGGGCTGGATGTATAAGCTGGGCTGGGGAGAGGAAACAAGAAGGCAGAATGGGGTTTTTTTCTTCTCCATTTTTTTTATTATTATTTTTTTTTAATTTGTAAATAACTTTGCATGAAAAAAGTTAAATTGCACAAGTAACTCTGCAGTTCTTCAACATCATCCCCAAAGCAGGAAAAATAGAAGAAAAACAACAAGGAAAAGGAAGCTTTGTCAATACAAACAGCTACACCGATCCCAAAGCCCCTTCTAAGTGCTTTTGTAACCAAAACAGAATCTATTTATAATCTTCCTTTTTTTTTTTTTTTTTGGCAAGTCTATGACACACCACTAAAATTCCAGCTTCTACTTGCTCCTACCTAATGGCTGCTCTACCTCTCACAGCCCACAGCAAAGGAGAGGCAAAAAAATCTGGTTTTTGAGAGCTTCTAGTCAGGTTTCAGCAGAGCTTGGCTCTGCTCCCAAAATATTTCCAAGCTACCTTGCACAGACCCTGCCACACTCACGCTGCACATCCCAGTGTCTCTCCTGGCTCCTGAGCTGCTCCTGGATGGACGGGACTTCATTTCCACTGCTGTCCCCAGAGCCTGTTGCACACACAAGTCTTTGGCCTGAGCTCCTGGATGGAGCCTGGATGTGGATTTCTTTCCTGCTCAGTCCCACCTGGCAGCGTTAGATGTGGAGTGATCCCACCACCACCAGCTGAGGGCCAGGCCGTGGGGTTTTCCTTGCACTTGGAGCCTGATGGAAGAGCTGAAGAAGTGAAGAGCAACAGTCTCAGACCAAAAAAGTGGAGAGAGGCTACGTCAGTGGGTGAATGAGAGGGTTTAGGGTGGTCCAGATCCTTTGGCAACTGCGGCAAGGATTTTGGGTACAAAAAAATACAAAAGCCAGTTTTGGGAGCACCCTGGTCCCTGCTGCTCCTCTCCTGTCCGGGCCAGTTCCTGGATTCTTCACGAATCCTGTTGCTGCAGGAGTCCTCCTTTGCGTGGTCTTGTTTTACAGAACAGTGAACACAAAACCTTTAAACTGTGAAAATAGAAAACAACTCCCAAACTGCATTTCCAGTCTACCCCTCCCCCCTTAAGAAATTCTAGTGCTAAAAAATATAGATTTCTTTGAATATATAATATATAATAGATTATATAAAAAACATCTAAAGAGGCACACTTGCTGAATTTATAAACCTTTTCTTCTTCCCTAGGCACAAGTCAGCTGGGATGTTGAACTTGGAGAATCCAGAAGGGACCTGTATTTGCTTACCAGCTAATTATCACACTGCATCTACCAACTGCACTGAGACAGAAAAAGGAAAGACAGAGAGAAACAGAGAGACAAAGAGGTGAGGAAATTGCACTTCAGTCTACCAAGTCCTAAGCCACCAGGAATCTCCTGCCTTGGATGGGATTCAGCAGGTACTTTTAGCCCTGATGGAAAAAAAAAAAACCATTATAATTCACATTTCTTTTTTAAAAGTAAAATGTAAAAAAATAAGTAGTGTTATTTTCCTTCTCTTGAGAAAACTAGAGACTTCTGAGGTGTCCTTTAAAGACACAGCAGGCAGTTCCTGGGGTGGTGGGTTTTTTTCTCCCCTGGTGTTTCTGGGAGTAACCTTACAACAAAGCTGGTAAGAGTCACCCATGGGCATCTCTAGAAAATCTTGTCCCTTGTAAGTCCAAGCTTGGGGAGAGCATCCTAAAGTCTTATAGGAGGCGTGCCAGACTGCTCAGGTTGATCACATCTGCCAGCAAAGAGGCGTCGATGTCTTCAAACACCTGGTCAATGTTGACGCAGTTGGAGAGGTAATCGCTTGTCCCTTCATCCCAGGGATGCTCCAGGTAAGTAGTGGCCATGAGGGTTTCATTAAAGTCCAGGTTGTACTGGTTGGATTCGGTGAGGACTTGCTCCTGCCCCTGGGGACAGTCCATGTGCTGCCCTTGTCCCGTCCAGTCCAGGTCGCACGTTACGGGGTTGATGGAAGGTGGGAGCTCCATATCCACAAGGGTGGAGAAGTCTCCATTAAGGTTGGTGTTAAAGACAGTTTCCCAGTCAAAGGCACCTTTCAGCGATCCCACCTCGGTCTGCTCCTCCTGGGTCATCAAGGCAGAGCTGGAAAGCCGGGACGCCTTGGCCGTTGGCATGGGCGAGGGCTGCTTGCGCTTCTGCCCAGCTTTGTTACCCACTGGATTCCAGTTCTGGTTGCTGGTGGTTTCCTCAAACTCTTTGAGCAGCTGCTGTGATGCCATGTTGGCCTCCAGGATGCTGTTGGAGCTGCAGGCTGAAGTGGCTGGGCTGACGACATGCTGTGCTTCCTTCTGGGCTCTTCCGGAGAAGGCCGGGTGGATCTGCACTGGGGACATCCGCCGCTTCTTGTAAGTCCCATACTTGAGCCTGTTGGCATAGTAGGGGTCAAGCTTCCAAAACCCACCTTTCCCTGGCTCGTCTTTCTCCCGGGGCACCTTGATGAAGGACTTGTTCAAGGAGAGGTTGTGCCGGATGGAGTTCTAGATCCAAAAGAGAAAGAAACCGAGGCTGAATGCTCATCTGCTGCCACAGGACCTACCTGTGTGGGGAAGCTGGTGGACAGTATTTTCAGCAAGGACCTTTAGGAAAACAAAGCAAAACTGGCAATGTCAGGACATCCCAGGCTACATGCTCAGCAGAAAGTCCCCTAAACCCCTGAGTCTCCAGCAGAGTTTTCCTGCCTCCTGTCTCATCCAGCCAGAAACTCCAGGAGCTAATGGGTTCGAGCAAGGACTTGCCAACCAATGGGAAGCTTTTGGGCAACTCTCCTTGGCTGGAAATTGGGGCCTTGGATCATGCAGAGCATTGGGAGAAACCTTGAGTTGCTCTAGGCATGGAACTAAGCTGGAGGACGTTGGGTCCTCCTCCACATCTGAGGAGGAAGAGCTTAGTCCTTACACCAACGTGGCCACAGCCCCATTACAAGGGGCAACACATGGCAGCACCGTGGGGGATGGCATTATAGGGCCCTCCTTGCATCCCCCGGTTCATCTGCTCCTATTGCTAGTGTTGAGGGGAAAATACTTGCCCAAAAATTAGGCACCATGCCTTCCCACAGCCAGCCTGGCACAAATCAGATGGGAGAACACGGAGAGACACGTGGACTGTTCCACCGTGGCCCTGTGTGTCCCCAGAGGTGCCTCCTGGCCCGGGGAAGCTCCGTGTGAGCTCACTGCATCTTCATCAGCCACTGCTCAAATAAGCTGAGGGGGAAGAAAAAAAAAAAGGGAGGGGGGAAAAAAAAGAAAAGGCGGAGTTTCTGCTCCCGTCGAGCTGTTCTGAAACCCTGAATGTGCCTGGAGTGATGTGAATAATCAGAAAGGAAACTCAGTTATTGGGTAAATAACCCAGCGTTGGACTCCACAAAGCCAGGACTGTACTAAGAGATTGGATATGGTAGAGGTGTTTTTTTTTTTTTAATGTTGCCTGGATATCTTTATGCTTATTCATCCATAATCCGTAGTGCCGAATAGGAAAAACAAGGCTCGATTGCTTAGAGCTGTTGAAAAACATGCACACACTCACTCACTCACACACACACACAACAAAACCCTCCTCTGGGCTGAAGCTCCTTGGGTTTGTTGGCTCCTCTCCAAAGCACTCAGCCCCCACAGGAATATATCCATCTCCCCCCTGGACTATGGGTGGCATGACCTTTCCAGGATGTCTTCACGTACGGGAATCGGGATAGGGGATGAGAACACAGAAAGAAAGAAAAGGAAAAAAAAAAAAGAAAAGAGAGGAAGAAAAAAATATATAAAGTAAATAGAAACAAAAGAGAAAAAAGAAAAGAGAAAAATAAAAAGCAGAAAACTAAATTAAAAAAAAAATAAAAGAAAGAAGAAGCAGGAACAGAGACATCCCTCCACACAATCCAGACTGTGGTAACTTCAATTTTACAGTTTAATGAAATTTTACAAGGATCAGAGACTTGAAAGCTGAATTCTCTGCTTCCCATCTCTCCTCCCGATCCCAAACTTTGCTCAGGCCGGGCTGAGTTATTACCCAGCCGGTTAACATATTTATCATTCCTGCCTGCCCCAGTCCAGTGTACCCCCTGGATCTCTGCAGAGAGGGATTGAAAACCTTCTTTCTTTTTTTAATAAACACATTTAATTAAAAATGTTGTGAATACCCAGCCATGAGTATGCAGGAGAAAGTCAACACTCTGGCACCCAGCTCCTCCTTCCAAATCTCTCCCGTAGGTCCCCTGAGCAAGGAGAAGGCTGGGGGACCAAGGTGACCCTGGAGAGGGACTGGGAGGGGTTCCCTTCCCCATGATGGGGTTCAAGAGCTGCTGGAGGCCCACCTGCCTGGAGAGAATGTGGGCAGTGCCTGGGCAGGGCCTTTGCAGTGGGTTTCCCTAGCCCTGCCTGGGTGGGCACTGCCATCAGGGTTAGTGACGTGCTGCGGGTTTGGGCTGGGAATAACAGAAGGATGAGCCACTCAGGTCCTTCTTGCCCTGCCACATCCTAGAAAGCCTCATGTGCCAGAGGTCCCCTCGTGTGACGGAGGAGGGCAGCGAGCCAAGGTGTCTGGGAAAAGCCCCAGGGCTTCAGGCTGTCCCCAAAGCTGGTGAGCCTGGGGGCTGTCCCCAATTCCACAAGGACATGCTTGTGCTTGCTGGGGACGGCAGCCCTATTTGACCTCTCTTGGGCTTCCCTCTGCAGGTCTGAGCAGCTCATCCCAGTGATGGAGACTCCTTGACCTGTCTGAGGGGCCAGGAGCTCAGCCCTCTGCCCTGCTTGGAAAGCAGCAGCATTTCTGCTCAGAACCTCCCCAACAAGTGACTTGTCCAACAAGTGGCATCTCCATCCCTCTCCTGTGCCTAGTCCTCAGCACTCAGGGACACTTGACCTGCTAATTCCATGTGCGCTCAGTCCCGAGGGACTCAGGAACCAATGAGAGCTGCAGAAGGGTAGGGATTGAGAGACCTTTGCCCTGGAGCCAAGAGGAGCCTCAGGTGCCAGGAGCCCAACAGGTACCTCCCTGCTCCCAAAATGTCCCCGGGCTCTCCTCCAGAATGGCTCCTTCCCTCTGCCACCCCTGCAGCTGTGGCATTTGTGCCCAGCCAAGTTCTTTCCTGTTCCAGCCCTTCCCCACCGGCTGCCAGTGCCACTCTTCTCCCAGTGGCATCCAGCATCCCTGCAGACCTTCGTGCAGGGTGGAGGCTGTGGAAAGCCCTGCCCAGCTCTGCAGGGAGAGGGGCTAAGGCAAGAGGGCTCCAAGTCTCCTACCTGCCAGGTGGGATCGGCGTGCCGGAAGTAGCAGAAGTTGTCCGTAATCCACTTGTAGATGGCAGAGAGGGTGATTTTGGGTTTGTTGCTGGCTTCCATCGCCATGCAGATCAGGGTGGCGTAGGAATAGGGTGGCTTGACGTGTGGGTTGGTCTTGTAGTCGATGTCCCCTGCGAGATGGGGGGGCACAGCCATGTCGTGGTGCATCGTCGAGGAGGTGGAGGAGGAGACGGGCGTGCAGGGGGTGTGACGGGTGCCCTTGCACGCCGGGTCAGCGGCCAGGGGGGAGCAGGGGGACTCGAAGTCGACCAGACTGAACAGACTCTCACTCATGGTGTAACAGTCCTGGGGGTCTGAGCCGGGGTATAACTGGGGCAGGCCTGTCTGGGCAACTGTGAAGTCGCTCAGCCAGCGGAGGTCTGGCAGGCTGTCATCCAGGTCTTCCTCCACGCACTTCAGTTTGCCCTTGGCTTTCAGCGCTTGGCTCGACCACGCCATGCCTGCACGGGGTGCACGGGGTGCACAGGGAGGGAAGGGATGGGATGGATCCTGCAAGAGCAACAGGGAGAAGGCTGATGTTCTCTGAGGCGCTCTGTGGCAGCCAGGCAGGGCCAGGCCTGGGTGCTCCTGGTGCTGCTGAGTGAGACTCATCCCTGGGGTGCTGTGCAAGGGAGCTGCAACACCTGCCCCAGGGGGGCTTTAGCAGCCCTGAGCCTTGGGGAAATTCCCTCAAAACCCTACACTCCAATGTCACCCAAACCCGTTGGCTGGCGCTACCCAGCAAGCTTTTGGCTGAACAAAGAATTAAAAAAAAAAAAACAAACAACAAAAAAACCACCCCAAGCAACCAAAATCCCTGCCAGCCCACAAAGTGAGGTTGTTTCTTGGGGACACACAGCTCTGGGTACCTGCTGCTAGCAGGACTAACTCTGGGTCCAACACCTTGACAAAATACTTTAAAGTTTCCCCCCCTCACAGCCAACTTCCCTCGGTTTGAGGCTATTTCTTCTTCTACCTTCCCCTGGTACCCAGAAATAACTCGGGGAGCTTAGGGGGGTTGCCGGAGTCCCACCCCAGGCACACACCAGAAACAACTCGGAGGGCTTGGGGCAGGGTTGTCGGAGTCCCATCCCAAGCACACCCTCAGTCAGAGCGAGCCGGCAGCTTCAGGCTTTGGGGAGCCCCGGGTAGGGGATGCGGCGCCTGGCTCCGGTGCCAGTCTCTAAACCCCAAATCCCGTGGTTTTGGGCCAGGAGAGAGCGCCCGGGAGGGCACATAACAAGAGCCGCTCCCCCCGCGCAGACCTACCGCCCCTTCCAGCTGCTTCGCCCGCGCTGCCCGTCCCGTCCCGTCCCATCCCATCCCACCGCCCTCCCCGGCCCCCACGGCTCCCCCTTACCCCCGTCCCGCTGTCGTCCCCCAACCGCCAAAGTTCACGACAGAGCAAGAAGCTTCTGGAAAAACAGCAGTGGAGGGGGGGAAACAAAAAAAAAAAAAAAAAAAAAAAAAAAAAAAAAAAGAAAAAAAGCGGGGGCGGGGGAGAAGAAAGGGGAAAGAGAAGCCCTGAGGCTGCCGGGGTGCCCGTGCCGGCTCCGTGCGGTGCGCCCGGGCCGGGCCGTGCCCGCCGAGCCGCCGTGAGCCGCGGCCGCCCCGGCGCGGGGTTAAGTAGCGGCTCCGAGAGGCTTCGCGCGTTGCCGCGGCGACGGCCCCGCCCCGTAAACATCCTCCGGCCGCGCCATTGGCCCGCGCGTTGCCATGGGGACGGGGCGGGATTTTGAGGGGGGTGGTACCCGGGGATGCTGTGGGACCC